CTTGGGGGTGTGGGGGAAGTGCTGGGGTAGGGCCTGCATGCCCCAGTTGCTCACTGCATGGTTCTGTTATTATTAACCTGCGTTCTTCATTGGTAACTCCAAAGTGCAGGGCAGCCGGATGTATTTTGTTTGTATGAAAACAAATTCTGAATTAGTGGGGCTTGTTTCCAGACCAACAAATGATCTTTCGAGAAAACCGCGATGTCCTGTTTATAATCCCTGTTATGACAAAGGTGGGAATTCCTGGGGTCAGAGATATAAACCCATCACATTAATAGCCCAGAAGACATAGTCTGAACCCAAGTTCCTCCTGTCCCTACTTCCCTCTTTCACAGCACTTGGCTAAAACAGGTTTTCATAGGAAAATTCCTGAGCCACAGATGCCGGGATGCTGGTTTCTGTCAGAGCTCCCGAGAGCCTAACCCTTGATGCTTCCTTCCCAACTGAAAATATATCTCCCCTAGCGGGTTTGCCCTCCCCAGCCGCATCCAGGTTCCGGAGTGCTGACTCTCCTTTATGGGGTCGAAGAAGGCTTTCATGATATTGCAAAAGACATGCCTTCTCAAGATAGGCTGGAGGAAAAGAACCCTCCATATTTAATGATGCTATTCCAGCAAAGCAGAGCCTTAATGATGATAATAATAATAATTAATGGCACAGCTAGAGAACTGACAAATAATGAGGAACAGATGATTCTTTCCTGGCCTCAAAAAAAAAAAAAAAGTCTGTACGCCTGCAGAAAATTAAACAGACCCTTTCCTGGCAATTTCAAACTCATGCACGCCTCAGCCAGAGTCAGTAAGTGGTTTTTCTTTTCCTCCATGGAGAGCTAAAAGTATAAAAGTACTTCCAAGTCTTACAATGCCACATGCAGCAAAACAAGGCATATGGCCTTAGCCCTGGGTCTCCAGTTTAGCTGCAATTCTCACTTCCAAACTAGTCCCACCAGCAATTTAAAGTTTTTATTTTTTATAGGTTTCTCAATTGTGCTAATAAAGTGTAACTTTCTCACTCTGTTTCCGCTTCTGTCATCTTTTAAAATGGCTTCGGGTTTCACAAAATGGGAAGGTTGGGCCACTCACTGCCTGGATCGAGTCACTGTGTTAGTGGGCTTCTGTATCCCTTACGGAAGGTAAGGCCTTGCTCTGGTGACAAGCTCTAGGCAGTCTCCTCTGCTAAGTGAATCTGAAATGCCTCCAAACCAATAATAAAACTCAAATGAATCAGCTCAGGTAGAAATGGAATGAGGTCCTTGGTCAGGCATCTGAATGAATAAAAAAACCTACAAAGGAAAGGTTCATAGTTGGGCTTAAAAACCTTGTTCCACTTCTCTGTGTCTGCCTGTGGCACTACAAAGAAAGAGAGATTGGAAACATAGGTTTCATTGGTTTTGTGTCAAGGGAAGAAACAGGACAATAGGTCTATACCTCACTTTGCAGGATCATCACGGCATGGTTGAAATGGTGATGCTCTAAGGTAGCAGAGGTTCCATAGAGTTGGGCCAGGGCAGAGCCGCTCCTGGAAGAGGACAGAAAGGTCAGTGACCCAGGCCCGTCACCTGTCAACGATTCCCCCACACCAGCTTTTTGGATCAAATTGCTTTTCCTGCTTTGGCCAAGGACCATGAGCTGATACACTCTCAGGTAACTGCTTGTGTAGTTCACTAATCTATTAAGTCAACCTTTTGGGAATCTTCTTTGTGTTAGGCTAGATGCTATGGATGATACAACAGTGAATAAGAAATCGTCCATGACTCTAAGAAATTTACAGAGTAGTGAAGAAGATGAGATGTGATCATAGGGAATATAAGGCACATAACATAAAACACAAATACCACAGAAAGTGTTCCAGGTTCGGTCAAAGTGTTTTGCATGATCTGAAAACAAGAGACATAATTTCTGGCTTTGGGGATCAGGGTAGGCTATATGAACTGAATTTTACACAGCTTCTGAGTGTCCAGATCAATTGTCTTATACCAAATGTATTTGACTCTTTCTGGGAAAAGACACTGTGAATATTTTACATTTAATCTACTTTACATGTAAGGTTTATAAGTTTCTACTATGGTTTTCCAGCCCAGAGTCACACTATGATATCTCACTGTAGAACTCCAGAAAGTTCCTTGGATTTGGAGTCAGACCTCAGCTGTTGGTCATGGCTTTGGACAGTTAGTTGGTCATGTTAACATTCATTTTCTTTGACTCTAAAATTATGATAATACTATCTACCTTACCTGTTATTTATGAGACTACCATAAAATATTTGAAAGTGCCTATCCCAGTGCCTGGCATACAATAGATATTTTAATCGATATTATTAATCAATAATTAAAACACATAGATTTTTCCATTTTAAATTAAAAAAATGTTAGTTGATCCTTGAAAGTATTATTCTGAATTATCTTTACATTTTGCTTATGTATAATAGAACAACCCATTCCTCAACAATATCAGTTTGGAAAAGTGTTTATTTAAAATGTTCAAGTGTGTTCATTTCCAATTCTTTTGGCTTAGGATTAAGAGCATCTTAAGAGTCGAAAGAGATCCAGAGACTCCTAGGGTTCAAAGTGCAGTCATGGGACTCTGTTGAAGACACATTCAAGTTCTTGTGTTCTTTCTTGCTCATTGCAGGGAGCTTGAACATTGAAAGGGCAATTTGGCCTTAACTTGGGAACACTGCAGATTGACAGCTCACAGTCTGCCCTGCTAGTGAGAGGAGCAAACCCTGCCTCTAAGTGCACTGGGAAGGATTTCAGTCATAAGCTGCCCTCCAGGGTGAGGCAGCCCAAGATCATGGCCAGTTGAAAAGACTCAGAACTGACCACATGTTGGAAAAAAAGTACAGCAAAGTTAGGTTCTGTAGGGATTATTATGAATAGGGTTCTTAAAGAGGGTACTAGAGTCCATCTGGCCCCCTAAAAAATATTAACAACATTATTGATTATATTCCCCAGACTGTCTTTTCTATCCCTGAGGCCATATTGTAGTTACCAATTTGTATTGTCTCATCCCTTCCCCTTCTCCATCATCCCCACCCCCTCCCAACTAGCAACCCTCAGTTTTTCCTCTGTGTCTCAGAGACTATTTCTGTTTACCGCACTGTATTTCTGAAGTTGATGTTCAATAATATTGTATGTCAACTATAATTATATACACATATAGTCACGGGATGAGGAGTAGGGTGTGGGAATGGAGTCAATGGAATTGTAATAGATAAATATGATATTGGGGTGGGAGGGCAGTAGATGGGGGAGGGGGTTGTTTCTGTGTGAAGGGTGAAAAGGATAACTATTGCATTGTTCTGTACACCTGAAACTAACAATAAAAAAATAAAATGAAATAAAATAAAATAAAAGAGGGTACTAGATTTTAATCAGGTATGTGTTATTTCTTTGAATCTTACCTTAATCTATATCATTTAATAAGTGAACATTTGTTAGGCTAATCTTAGTAATCAGTGATTAATATTTAATGTTAGTTACTATCTTTCTAACATAAGAGTTCATTTTTATGAAAGTACATTTTTCAAAAAGCACACTATATTGTGTCTTGGCTATATTTGTCTTGGCTTTTGAAATTCTAGGATGTTTTATATGCATATCACATCCTAATGCCTGGTATGGAGTAGGTGCTTAAAACAATATTAGCTGCTTGGCTAGTAAGCTGGAGGTAGTATGTCTAGAGAGTATAGTTAAAATTGGAAGGTTGACAGTGATAAGTGTGTTAACATATTTTATTAATAATAATAGCTATCATGAGTAAGTACCTATCGTGCACTAGGCAACAGATTAACAACTTCATATATTATTTCATCTAGTCCTGACAACCACCATGAAATGGTATTGTCTTCTCATTTTACAGATGAGAAAGCCGAGGCTCAGAGAAGCTCTGCTACTTTTCCAAGGTCATAAAGCTAGTAAGTACACGTTCTGGATTAGAATCCAAGTTTTTAAGCTTCTTCTCAACACATAAAGAGAAAGCTAATTATAACTTACACATTTCTGATATTCAATTCTCAATTTTTGCCAAAATGGCTGTCATCCATGAAAGAAGATTTCACAATTTAATTCAGAATTCTACTGGTATAACTGCTAACCACAGGCTCAGACTTCTGTGATTTGTTTCTACTAATCAGCCATGCCCAGATGTCTCTCTTACTGGTGTGAATCCTGGTAACAGAGTCATTGATGTAAAATAGGGTCAACATGCAAAATATTATCCCTTCTTTTATCACGTTGGTTTAGCAGATCTCATAAAGTTAAATCAGTTAGATGACCACAAATCACTTTATATATATCTTTTCAGGATGAGTGGGATGTTTCCTCCTTAACCAGGAAACAGCTTATAACAAATACACTGGTGCCTCCTATGCTGTCCCTCTCCCTCTCCCCTAGGTCCACATGGCTTCTGAACTGCTGCATTTCATCAGAAGGACTCTTAGGGTGTTTGTGCAAGTGCAGCCTGTGACTGCCTGTGGTTTGAGCATTTTCATCAGCAGACTGCCTCTTTGTTCCCTTTTCCATTTGTTCCCAATTCCATCATACATTCTCCTCACCCTCACACAATATTGAGTTAATCACAAAAATAAGATTTTGCAGCTGAACCAGACTAATGTTATGAAAGTGCAGGAAGACACTGTGATTCATTCATTCACTCATTCATTCATTCATTCATCCAACTAAAAAGTATTGATGACTTATGATACCAGGCTGCAACATGTGGAATATGAAGATAAGTAAGACATTGTCTTACCCTCAGGAAGCTCGCATCCCCTATAATTGTGTCGGAGACTTTCTCTGACCAGACTTGCACTACAATGCTCACCTTTCTGCAAGCAAGGTGCCATCTTAGCATTCATAGAATGGAGCTTTGCACTAACTCCAATTTGAGTTTTCTAGAATAAAATCATCTAAGCAAGAATGCTTCCATTTCCATAGGGATTCTTTATTTACACTATTAGATTTGGTTTCTGTCAGATTTTCTAAGACTGCAAAACCTTTTGGTGCTTTCTCTCTCAGGCCAAGGCTCACTGAGAATGCTGCCTATACCTGCCGTGTTCACACATGCTGTGAATCTCCTGGGATAGCAAGAGTGACGTCTACACTCATAAAAATTGTTGTAAGTGGCAAAAATGTATCTGTTAGGATAAACTTTATCAAAAAGTATTTACAGAAAATGCATACTAGTTCTTTGGGATGTTAAATGGTATTATGAGAAGAAATAAAAAGGGTCCCATGGTCAAATATGTTTGGGAAATGCTGAGTTTAAAAGTTACACTGTTTCCGAGTGGCGCGATGGTTAAGAACTGGCTTGGGACACCAGAGGGCCCCGGTTCGGATCCCACATATGAGGGCCAGTGACACTGCCCTCCACAGCTAAGATGCTGAACAACAGCTCAACCTGGAGCTGGGCTGCTGTGAGTCGCCGGCGATGGCGTAGGCTGCAGCCCCTGTGGCAGTGGGTTGCCATGGGCTACCGTATGTAGCCAGCAGCCAGCGTGAGCGGCCAGCAGCCGCAGTGAGCGGCCGTCCAGAAGCCGGCGACAGATGTGCCTCACCTGGGAAGAGCGCAATGATGGTGCCAACTTGGGCCAGTGAAGCAACGTCCTCCACAACTAGACTGAAGAACAAAAAGACAGCAACTTCTCTGTTCCCCTTCCCCCAATTCCACAGCACTGTTCCCATCCCCCCAATTTCCCAATACAAATCTTTAAAAAAAAAAAGTGAAACTGTTTCTTCACTGTAGAATTTCCCAGCGGCATCTGTGTGTGAAAATATGCATTATGATTCTGCAGGAGGGGAACACCATATGCAGTATTAACCAATCTTACTTGATTATAAAATCGCTTAAAAGAGGCCATGTCTCTCATGCAATATACTTGTGTAAAGGCACATTTCTACTTTTTCATGTAAAATGTGTGTGTGGGGGGAACCCCACCCCAAATTAATCACCTATGGAAAAAATTGACTTTAACACCATACCTCATTTTAATTGTCTGTGGTAAGTATATCCATCATGTAAGTAGCTTGGGGCACACACACTATAATAGTGAAACTATTTTGTATATAATTTATATATATACATATGTATATACAGATACATAACATTATACACACACACACACACTCGTATATGTGTGTAGGGCATGTGGAGAGAGCGGGAAGAAAAGGAGGAAGAGTCTCCAAATTCCATAAGCACAGGAATACTTATACATGTGATTATTCATGATCCTTATTATTGATTAGGTCATCCCAACTACTGAAGGTTTTCCTTTTCGGACAGGCAGCACACTGTGGGGAAACTTATTAAAAAGAAAAGTCAGTGTGAAAATTCTGTCATTTCAAGCATTCAGCACTTGGAACAGGCACCAAAAAAAGTGTGCAAATGGAAATACCTTCATAGCTTCCCGAGATATGCATACGCTTTGAAAAAGAGGCTTAATGGAAGTGTGCAGCCATGACTTAACAGGAAACTTTAAGAAGGAAAACTATGAAAGGTAATTAGGAAATTGAGAATTGT